CGGCCCCATCGGGCCAAGAGCCGAATCAGCCCAAACAGAAGCTTAGGTATAAACCGGCATCGTTTGTGTGGCCAAAGCGGTCAGAGCGGGGCGAGGACGCGAGGTCCTGCTCGTATCCCGCAGCTTTAACCTGAGTTAACAATGAGGTTCCCTTAGAGCCCGGTACCAGGTGCTGCCCGTAGGCGCAGGGAGGCTGGAGGCGAAGTGTTCCCTCCGGTTTTATTCCCGCCTTTCTTTGCTTCATGAGGATCCAGGGAGCCCTCGGGTGAACCCCGGTGCTGCTGGCGGTACCGGAGGGCTGGGAGCAGGACCGGCCCTCGGGGGAGCTCCGGGGCCGCTCCGGTGGGACCAAGTGTCATCGCGTCCAGCGACGGGAAAACCCGGCTCTGGTTTAGTTCATCAAGTCCTTATCAGCGGTGTGACAAGCGCAGGAGATAAAGGCTTCGGCAGCCCGCCCGTTCTGTTGGCTTGCTTTCGCAAAACTTTTCCAGGGAAATGGTACAAGGCGGAGTCAAAGCGGTCTGTGTGAAACACAACCTTGAATTTTGATACCAGGTACAACTGTGCTGCTGGCACTGCACCATCTCGGTTTATCTGCCAATCCCTGGTGTTAAGGAAAATTAATTTAATGATAAGTATTAAGAGGAAAACCGTGTTATCAAAGTCAGCTGTGCTGTAAATGTGCCTTATGTTATCAACTGAGGGAGATTCCAATGTGATGTCAACCCTACTATGTTTTAAGAAAATATATTCATACATGCCCCACACATTCTAATGAATAAGTATTGGCTACTCCCCTTCCAATTTATTCATTATTATTATTAACAGTTCCTTAATATTTATTCTAATGATCTGAAACGATTGCTTTATTTTTCAATTATCTCTCCTCCTTTTGCTTTTTCTGCTCTACCATTCATCTTTCATGTTTGTCTTGGAAAGGTCTTCCCTGATGCTTTTTTTTTTTTTTTTTTAAATTACTCTTCTTTCTTTCCTTCAGTTTTTATCAGACCTTGATGTTTTACATTCAGTATTTTCTATAATTTGTTTTAACCTTAATTTTAATACATTTTTTCAAAGTTCATCTTTGTCACCATTTTACCTACATCCTATTTTTCTTCCCTCCAAACAAAAAGTGGTATTTCCAAAATATTTTGTTACACATTTTATCCTGCTCACCAAAATTGCCTCTGCTTAGTATTCAGATTTCTTGCTCTTCTGTTTCCCACTCACTTTCTCTCATTTGTTGTTGTTGGGTATCTCATTAATCACGTATTGGTAGCAGCAATGTTTGATGCACCATACATTTCTGAGGACCTTACACTTACCTTCTTTACTCTCATACCAGGAGACGTCCTGGTGAGCCTGCTGGTGCCCTGGGTATTTGCCAGTCTTTGGAACTCATAGACTAGATAGCAACAGTTCACCAAATGAAGAGTATTTTTAGGTGATCAGAGGTTGATCTCGATGTCAGTGCCAAGTGAAAATGGGTAACATACTGCAGTGTGTGAGAGAAAGGCTCCTGAATGTTGTGTAGCTGCAATTTTGTCCTTGGAAGTTGTTTATTGCCTAAAATCTGTTCCTGTTTCCTCTCCACTGTTTACAAGCCTCTGCTGCTTCTGGTAGCTCATCCTCCTGAATTTCAAAACTAGGAGGAGGAGACAGAGGGCAACTTTCCTAGTAGGAGTGAGAGATAATTCAGCAATTAATCTCTGGCATTGGTTTTGGATCTGCTTGTGAACAGAGGAGCCAAGGATGAGACTCTAGCCTTGACTGGGACAGGATAGTGCAACACAAAATGTGTGCAAGTTAGCCCTCTGGAAGAGTAGGACTGACTGCCACGTAGAGCTTCAACACTTTCAGCCTGTTTTCCTTAGTTTGTACACTTCTGTTTTCAAGTTGTTTAGATCTGCTGCTCTGGGCTGTTCATATTTACTTAAAGAGTGCAGACTGTTGAGATACGTTCAACTGAAGGACACTCATCAACTCTGAAATGTTGTGTTTGGGGCTTCGTAGTGTGGATGGCTGGAAGGAATGCAGGGCATAAAATAACAAGCAAATTTTATTTACTTAGCACAGTTAGAAGCAAGAAAATAAATATTCCTCTTTAGAAATATGGAAATCACTATGGTTTCATCAGAAGAAATGAGCTGTCACATCAAACTGTTGTGTCTTTGACTGGCCTGATAATATAGACTCCTATAGCTTTTACAGATGGATTTATTAAAAAAAAAAAATCATTAGAATTCTTATATATGTGCACACCAGGTGACAGAAAGAAGTTGGCCATGTTTAGCAAATGGCAGGGTATCTGCAAAGCCAGTGAAAATGTGTTTTCTGATAAAGCAATCTGAGAAAGGCAAGCAGTGAAATATAGTGTACCTTCCTGAAATTGATATAAACTCATAAAAAGTAAAAGATTATGACAAGTAGTGTATTTTTTTGCTATAAATATAGAAAATATCCAAACGTAATGCAAAAAAGGGCAGTTTAATATGATAAATGGAAGAAACAATCATTTACAAACCAGAGTTGCTGTTGGAACAAATTTCTGGTAGTGAAAGCAGAAGTAGTTGGCAGAAGTGCTTTTGTGATATGTCAGATTTTATGTCTTGAGATGGCCAATCCAGTCTTGTTTTCACATGCAGTTAGTGGGATTTTCATTTGATAGCCAAAAGATCAGGTTTGTTTCCTGCAGATTGAAAGCATATGCTGTTTGTAACTCTTTTTCTAAAGCCTTTTTTCAGCCTTTATGTACCCAACGTGCCTGTCATCTTGAAAGGCTAAACTGCAGGGATTTTTAACTCTTCAAATATGTATGAAAAAGTGCATGCATATTTTATAACACTTTATGATTTATTTTTTCTTTATTTCATAGTTGCATGCTTCTCTTGGTTGCCTGCAGTATCCCTGTAGCCATACTACTTAACTTGCCAGCTTCCAGTCCACCAAATATATCTCAGCAGATATATATCTCTGCTATATCTCAGCAGAGTAAATATTTTTTTAAAGGAAATAATAAACACCTGTATACTTGGAACTTGGTCTAAGTGAAAGTTCTGTCAGTATAAAGGTAGTGTTTTCCTTACATCTTTAAAAATAAGTCTGTCAATATAGATATTTTAGTAACAAAGTACTACTACAGATCTAGCTTATCTTCTGAAAACTTAAATATAATTTTGGAACAAGACAGTAGTGCTTACTAGCTGAATATGAACTTTTGGTCAATCTTTTTTAAAAATTGCTTACAGATCCAGGCCACCATGCAAGCCAGTGTCAGTATTTATTAGGGAGTGCTATTCCATCACGTTGGTAAGGAGCTGAAGTTTGCTGCTCAGGGTGTTGCTGAGCACAACAAATCCACAGTGAATGTTCTGGGTAGCTGCATTTCTTCATGTTGACCTTGAGCTAATAAGCACATTCAGTGGGATTCAAGGACATCCAGCATGGAAGAGACCTTACACACTCTGCTTCTGTGGTTACATCCAAATTTTCCTTCTTTCTGTTTTCATGCTTCCAGGTTGTTCTTCCCACTCTTTGTCCAACCCACCAAACCAAAGTTTTCCATGAGAGAAGTGAGAATGCACAGATGTCATGGAACTGAGACAAATAAAAATACTTCATGCATGGATGGGAAGGTATGGGTCCTGCAGCTGTCTCACTGTGCTCCAAGTACAGATTCATTTCAGTGGGATCCCTTTCTTTCACTTATGTGACTAAACTTCACTAGATGCTGTGTTAATTTAATCTGAAGTAGTTATTACTTCATTTTTCAGTTCATATTCTTTATTTTCAATCTGATTTGATGTCAATCAGCAGGCCATGGATGTTATTAGATAAGCTACTTTTCCCTATCTATTTGGAAAGCAAAAGTCAACTCCCACTTAGTGTTTTCCCAGTCTCTTGTAAGTAGAGGCTACATAATATTGTAACTGGAAAAAGGGGGTAGCTACAATTTACTGGGCAGAGCGGGTAGGTGGAGCACTGGGTATATTTAGGATGGTAGGGTTATATTGCTGTTGGGGTGGTAGCTCTCAGTTTCAGTTTGCTTTTTTGCATGTTAGTGCTGCCCTGGTTTTATAAGCAGGGAACTAAGAAAAGAGAAAATAATCTTCAAGGGAACAACTGATCTGGAGCTCGGCAAAGGGAAGAGCTAAGATCTTACCCAGCAATTCAGGCATCCTGATGTACGGCTATGAATGCAGGATGTGTCGCAGATTGACACAGCACCACTTCTGATTCTCATTCATGTGTCTGGCTGGGGACTGCTTTTGTACAGAGCTGTTAAGATGTATTCTGGGAGCACAGTACTCAGGGAACTTGGCCCTCAGGGAATCTTTATGCACCCATAATGCACAGCTTTCAGCCTGCAGGTTGCTTATCTGTCCTGAGATATTGTAGAGTGAAAAGTGAAGGCACAGTGTGTTTTGCACCACTAAGTCACCTATCTCCTGCATTCTCATGGTGAGCAATAAGTGATAATTATTAGTCATTATTGCTTAGTAGAAATGGGTGCTTATGGATTGTTTCTTGGAGTTCTTTTAGTGATGTTTTAATATATTTTTTCATTACTCTTCTACAGTGCAATTTATTTCTTGATTTTTTTAGTTAATGATTTATTTTTGCTTGGTGGCTTTTTAGTAGTAATGTTTGGTTTTAGTGTTTAGATAGTGGACTAAAAATATCAGAGTTGTTTCAAAGGCATTACTAAAAGCCTAGACACAATAAATTAATTTGCTCTAGAAAGGTAGGAGATCTCTTAAGATGATTTAACTGTAAGCCGAGCAATGTACTAACAGTAAAAGCATTCATTATAGACAATTAACTAAAAAAAAGGTTTATAATGTAAAAACAGTAAGTTCTGGATTACGTCCATGTAGTTTTAAAGATAAAGTCTAAACCAAGATCTTTATTTATGTAAGATAGGATCAAAATCAAAAGGAAGAGTCTGCTTAAAGAAAACAAGGTCGTGGTATTCACCTTTGTTAAAACCTGAATAAATTCCATGTATCACGGAAGAACTCAGTGGGTAGGAAAAGGGCTTGGAGAGTCTCTGTCGAGAAGGAGGACTGTCATTGCTCAGTTGAGCTCCCACAGCCCTCAGAACAGACCTTGTCAGGTTTACTTCTTGGTCTGTGCCCTTTATTTTGAATATCTTCATCAAATTTGTAATTATTTTTAAAAATAAATAAAAAATGAAGGTACTTGAGCTGTATAAAAGTTCTTGTCCTTTTTGTCCTCAGAGAAACTGTGGATCTTTGTCATGAGCCCCCTTTCTAAACCTGAGTTTCAGAAAAGGAAATTGTAGGCTTTTAATACTTTAATCCAGAGTTGTTTGTCTTTAACAGAAAATCTGAAAACCTCCTGTATATGATTTAAAAACCCAAGCCCCCCTCCCAGATATATTTAATGTATGATTCCAAAGAAAATAAACAGAAAAAATGTGTGCCAAATCTTGATCTATAAATGCTTAATACATGGAAATAGAACAGGAATTCTACTAGTTCATGCTGTAATTTCAGAGATTCAGCCTGTGTGGTACTTACTGCTTCAAAACTACCAGCAAATAATTCAAAGTGAACTTTCAGGAATTGTGTTGTCTTAAGTGAGTCCCGGAAACTGTGAAAAGATAGGGCAACTGAAAAACTTTTGATGTAAACTTAATGATTAAACTCAGAAATTCAGAGATCAAAGAGAAACTGCTGGGAAGATGTGAGAATTCAGTCAGTTGCACATGTAAATAGAAGTTTCTCAGCAAAGGGCCTGTTGATGGTGCAAGAATTAAAGCTTCAATCAACCAACAAGAAAAACACAGGAGGATCAAAGTATATGATAGTAAAATGAAGCATCAAACTACTTAGTCAACAAATTAATTTCAGCTGTAAGTAAGGGGTAAGTATTAACAGGGATCAATTATTTATTTTGTAGCTAAATTGAGTACAAGTGAGTAAGGAGAGAATTTTGAATTTTATCATCAGCAATTACTTACATTGTAAGATCAGGGCACAAACTGCCTAATGTTTTCCACTTAGCACTAGAATACAGAATTCACACATCAGAGAGCTTATCTAAATGTTTCATACCAAAGTTAACATGTTATCTGTGGTTTGATATGCTATAAATTGTTTCAAAAGGCTTTTACGAGAGTCTGTCTTGTTTTTGGAACGCTGCTTGGGATGTAATCTGAGTTACCCATGCTCCGTGGTTGCTGCCATGGCTGTGCTCAGAGTACTTTCATCACACTTCACACATCTCCACAGAAGGAAGACAGAAACATAGCAGGAGGCAAATTTGACCAATCTGAATCCCACTTTTTTGGAAGGAGAAATAAATCTGTATGTGGCATAATTTATGCTCTTTGGCATCCAGTTTAATTGATGCTGGTACTGACATCTCTGCATTTAAAAGATACAAGGTTTTGCTCTAAGGAAGTTCTAACTCTGCCTGCCTTGTTACTTATGATAGCTGGTTCACTGGAGGGCATGCCACAATTTCTCCTACTCTTCAAACCTAGACAGATCAGAGAGGTAAATTAAGATGAGCACAACTCTGCAGAGCTGTGGCAGCAACCCTAAATTCAAATGTACATGTGAGAAATAATGTTAAAGATAATTAAGCGATACATTTCATGCTGTTGACAATTTGGGAGCATGTAATAGATGACTGATATAGTTTTAAATTGTTGAAATATGACTGGCATTCTACTGGATTGTGAACTGGCAACTAAAATATGATTGACTAGTCATAACTGCCCTGCTGCATTTAAACAGACTGTCAACTCTTTACTAACCAGCCAAATGACATACTCGAATTAAAAGTCATAGTTATAGCCACTACTGTACAAGCCCCTGGAGACCCTGAACAAACAGATGAATCTTTTACTGACTACCAGATGTGAATTGGCAAGGAGACAATTCCAGAGGCATCATTCCCCTTCATCGAAAATTCCCTGTTTATAGATATTCAGATGCTGGGGCAACTGAGAAGAAACAGAATGGCTCAAAATGAGCAGGAGGAAAAATGTAATTATTAAAAATTAAAGTTCAGAGCCAATGCAGAGAAGAAAGCAAGGCCTGGCCTTTTTTTAAGAGTCTATATGCAAGAGTAAATTGTTGGATAATTCTGTGAAGACATTGAATGAAAATGTTTATTTTTTAAAAAAACAATAGTGGTTGAGGAGATAAATGAGTGAATGGAATTCAAGGAAGCACTGAGATCTTCTGCAGCAGGGTAAGGACCAACAAGCTGCAAGAGTAAAGCAATTCATCGACAAAGATGAGGATTCTGTCAGAATGGAAAAAATAATATTTGTGTAGGACAGGTACATGTACTGGTATTCAAGTAAGTATGGAACAGTCCAACTGACTGATTGCAAAGTCTTAAGTCAGTGGAGATGCAGAGATGAAACCACTGTTACTGCAGCCCGACTGCTGGTTTTGGCAGAAGCGAAACTGAATCGTCATGTAAATTGTTTTAATTACAGTACTGGGGAAGTTAATATAGTCCAACGTTTGTGTTAGTCTATTTTTGAGAGTAAATTCCAAGCTGCTTTGTTATCAGATATGTTTGTATATTTTTAAACCAATGCTTTTAGGGCTTTTTTAAAAATAGGTCCCTGAGGATGAACTGCTGGCTGGACTGAAGTCAGGAGAAGCTTCCCAGTTATTTTCATAAGGTCAGAACATCACTCACATTGTTTAAAGGGCATCTTCATATAGTGTGCGTTAGCTGTAAAATACTGTGCATCTAATGGCACCTTCTAAAAAGCTGTAATTGTTTGTGTTCATGTAGTAAAAGAGCAGAAATAATGAAGCTCTAAATCAATTTGTAATTTAAATATTTGCCTTATGCACATTAGCCATCATGCATTTTAATAGAACAAGACTTAAAGCAATAGCACTGTTATTATTTCTAATTCTCAATCTATCCATTGCTTGCAGACTGTCATCTAGAAACACTAAGCTGTGAAAGATTGCCAGAACTTTTCTTGAGAGGACTTCCTGATGGAGTTTTGCTAAAGAGGCCCCATAAAAGAAGCAGCAGCAGCAGCAGCAAATGGAGTGACCCTACAGGTGCAAGCTGCAGTTGCCTCTCCAGTCTTCCCAATAAGATTTGTTGAAACTCTCTGTTTCACAACGTCTTTATTGGTAATGGATCCCTCCCTTAATTTGCACTGATGCATTTGGAATGTCAGCTTCCAAAACAAGGCACATGGGAGGCATTTAAAGTAGATTTTTTGAAAGGGAAATGAACAAAGAGCATGTCAAGTTCAATTTTGATTTGCATGACAAATCCAGCATGCAGTGTTCTAGTGGGTCGGGCTGGGCTTGCCTGCCACTCACTGCATTTGTCACTTTGGTCTGAACACTTTTGACAGTCCGTTATGTTAATTGCTCTAAGGATTGTTTTGCCAGGGGAAGAAAAGGAAAGGCATTTTTTATTTTAGGTTTGTTGGGTTTTTTTTCCCATTGACAGGAAAGGAGGGATATCTGAGGAGCAGAAAATGTTTTCAATCTGTTGTATTTGTAAATAATCTTATGGGGTCATCAGCAAGTTCAGTATTTTAAATCTTATTGTTACTCATTCTGTGTGTTTTTTGAGTGGGAAATACTAGGCCCCTAAACTAGAAACTTGGGGAGTCTATTGTTTTGGTGCACTCCATTCTTTCTGCAAGTCCCACAGTGATGGGTCCTGCAGAGTGGTTTGTGCTGTGCCTGTGTGCTTCTATTGGATGATATTGTGGTGCTTTGACAAGTGCTAACAAGGGATTTAATGCTTTAAGAGGCATTGTTGGACATACATTGTTACGGGTATGTGGATGGTATGTGAGTAACTCCCACATGTGTCAGAGACCTGGTGGTAGATACATGCTTATGACTGAATTCTCCTGGAGGCACACTTCAGGGTGGACGTTGCTGTTGCCTCTTAGGGAACACACTTCTCTATCATCTATGTTAAAACAGTCATGGATTGCTTGGTGGTGGGTTTTGAGTGTCAAAGGTCGTAACTGAACTGCAGGTGTCAGAACACTGTAGGTTGATCACAAACAATGTCTTCAGACTGATAGAATGGTCAACCATAAAGTTTCAGGAGAAGACTGTTGTTTTTGTTGGTGTTGCTCTTTCATAGTTTTCTCATGAGGAAAGTAAGGAGATAGAATTTCCCAGGTAATGGCTGACATCTGCCTTTTAATCTTTGAATTCCTACACTGCACATGGTGTTCTCATTTACATGTTGTGATCTAGGTGCGCCATGACAGATAAGCTCTGAATACAGAATGCTTTGTAGCATAAACCAATGCAGAATATCAAAATAAATGAAGTTAAACAATAAAGTGCATTAATTCTAGTCACATTCTTCCTTAGTGATTCTGTATGCTGGTGCTGCTTTTCATGACATGCTGTTCTGTGGACTTAGAGGAGAATCAGTTTGAGCTGGTGCATCTCAAAAATACCCAATTATATTTACTAGCCCAATGTAACTACTAATGAATAATGTTCTTACACCACCACCATAAGAAGGATTACCTGTTGTGCTGCTCTACAGAAAGCTAATCTCAGGACAAGCTGCACTCACTGCAGTAGTTCCTGGGAGGCTGCAGACCCTGTTTAACGAGCTGGGGTGGGTTGTGCTGGGATGGCCACAGATCCCTGCTCCACCCCTCCAGCTCTCCTTGCCCTGGGAAGTTCCTCCTCCACTGCATGGACAGCTCAACTGCCCTGATGCAGCTGCTGGATTTTGTCAATTCTATGTGAATATTGTGAGTAAATAAAGATGCCTGGAGAGCACTGTAATACAGAAACCCACAGCCTGTGCAGTTCAGTGTCCTGGCTGGACAGCCTATGGCAGGAACTGCTGTTGTCCTTGTGAGGTGGGCAAGTGGTCCCTTTGTGTGGGGCAGATACAATTCAGAACTGACTTGGCCACCATCTCTGCACTCAGGAGTAGTTCTTGTCCTTGGTTCTGTGACTGTACAACTTCAAGTGGTTCTTGGTTTTGTGCCTGGATGGTGCCTCTCCATTTCCTGGTAGCTTTCCTGTTTGATCACTTCCTGGAAAAGTGTGTCACTGTTACCTGTCAGAGTGAAAAGCTGCTAAACCTCTCCCACTAAGAATTAGGCTTTTTCTCTAATTGGCACCCACTAATGAGAAAAATCACCAGAAGTAATAGCAAGTGAAAACAAATTCTGCTGTTCTCAATAGTTCTTGCAAATGGTTTTGCCTTGTGTGTATTTTTAGCACAAGTCAGGGCCTCACTCTGTACTCAGTAACACTTTTTAAGCTCTTCTACTGTAATAAAAGGGAAAGATCACCCACAGATTTTTCCTTTTCCCCCCCACTATTCAGTATGAAAAATTCTGTGCCAGAAATTCTTTTGCTTTGGCCTTGCCCCTGGGCTTCCTCAAGGGAAACAGCTTGTGCCTTCTCCTCCAGGAGTGAGCAACGGCGGCAGCAGAGGTTTGAGTTGTGGCTCCATCCCCTGCCGGCTCAGGGGTGGCAGCGACAACTCAAAGGACACGCCCAAGATGCTGCAGTGGATAACGTATCATTAAAGCAGCTCCTTAAAAAATCACCTCCAACCTCCCTTTTTCTTTTTTTTTTTAATTTCCTGGGCCTTCCCTCATTTGAGAGACTGAAATTCACTGTCACCTGGCTTCACTGTGAGCTTCCCAGCAGAACGGGGCCGTGCGAGGGGGAAGAGGCGCGTGCCGGTGCGTGGGGAGCGGCCCCGGGACACGCG